CTTCCCCTTTTAAACGTGCTGTTGAAGGTCACTTAGGTGACTTGGTTGTTTAAGAGAAGCCTAGAAATTGGCCACGAGTCTATACACATTAGCGCCTGCTTACCTGCACACTCGCTCTCACAATCGACAATACAAATTTCCAATTGCACCATAAAGTTCTCCACCCGAAACACCATCCTTGCTGCTGCTTCATCAAATAGCACTTGACATCCATCGAATGCACGGCGAATTGGCTTTTGTCCAGTAGTTGTGAAAGACCAATCATAGGCTTTCCTTCGCATGCTCATTATGCTACCTCTGTTTGTCAATAAATCAACTTAGTTAAACTTCGTTTTCAACTATGTTAAGCTTTTTTGAAAAATGCATCAATAATGGAAACCTACTCACCTGCAAACTTTAGAGTCGTAAATAAAACGGCCAGATAAACAAGTTGCGTTTGTCTTGTCTGAGGATCTCTGTTCACATTTCATCAAATTACTGTCAAATTTACGCCGCTATCAACAATCAATAGTCGAGGTCTCAGAATGGAGGAGTTTCGGTAGCAGTTTAGTGTGGAGGTGTGGTCAGACTCTGTCAGCCTTAGTGGAATGGCTGTCCGCGAACCATCGAATGACGATGGAAACAGCGGATGTCCACTATCTGCCTTTGCAGCCTAGCGCGCGCACCGTTTGTACGTCACCCAATAGGACAGGTCAAATCTTCAATGCATGCGCGCGCCACTCCTAAGTCAATATGCACGTACGTTCGTGCTCGTGCGATTGTATGTGTGCCCTATACCGCCGACGAAGAGTGAATGCGGTGGTAGATGCCTTTCCCGCTAGTCTGTTCTCACTATTGCTTCTTAAACATGTCCTTGGTAAATTATCAATGACTAGATTGTTTGGAGTCGAAGTAAGGGTAATTGTTAGTCCGTACTGTATTAGAAAATTGGTTTCTTGGTGCGACACTTCGATCTATTTCGGTCAAGTTCAATGAGGCAGCAATGAGCTTGTAAACATTGCCATTAGCTATGCTTCGGCTGCACTCTGCCACAATTTTAATAAACCATAGAAGTTGAGCTACAATCCTCGCAAATATTTTATGAAGGTTAACCATGTAGATAAGCTCTGTACTTCATCAAAATGGTAGATAATGAAGCGTTTGTAAACTGCCACAATCCAATCCATCTGCATTCATTTCAACATTCGTATAACTAAGTGAAATTTACTGAAGAGCACCCAGATCGCCAGCTTCGGGAGTGAGCAACTCAAATTACAAAATCCTCGGTAGTATTGGTAAAGAGCATAACCATTTCCAACATTTCGTTAATGTTTTACTTCTCAGGAAAACCATCATTGCTTTATACTATTTTATACCATATCCAGGCAGTATAACCAGAGGTGTTTGTGAGCAAAGCTAACGTGCATAAGAAGATTTGAAGTTTTTAATATTAATGGGATTCGCAGTAAAATAAATATGTTCTTTGTTGGACATTCTTCAATCCACTTAAACGAAAAAATTCACCTTATGAAAAGTGTACAAAGAACTAGACTTGATAAGGAAAAATGGTATTGTTTTACTTGTTGATAAACTGAGGAGCTCGAGTGGTAAAAATAAGGCTTGGGAACTACTCGGACCTTCGTCTGCCCCATTGAGTGTACAAAGCATCAGGTCGTTAAGGCAGCTTAACGACACCATCGAGGCTCTAGCAAGTTACAATGCTGCTATTCGGACAGCAAAACGGTTCCTTTGTCTGAGAGCCTTACTCACCATGAAAGGCTTCACGGTGCCTTATATCACCGTCAATAGCATTCATGTGTTAAAACTTAATAGATAATATTCTTGAAACGATGTTACATGTTATAACAATGGACGCAAATTAATTACATCATCGTGTGGTAGTTGTGAAACTGGCAAATATGGTAATTAGGTTAGACTTAACAAAATTTGAGCTCAATAAACCACAAATCTTCAGTAACATTACTACAGTAAGTTAGTAACTTTGGTGATCATTTATGGACGCAAAAAATACCATTAATTGTGTGCTCAAACACACTTGGAAAAGCGTCTTTCTATACTGTGAATATGAGACGGTGCAAAAAAATGTTGTGCAGACGAGTAGTGATTTGGTGCACAGCCTCGAGAACCGAACGAAGTATGCTTCAATGAAGTGTGTTCAAAATTAACACCTGCTATAATCATGCCAACATATCTGGCTGACTTGAAGCAGTAATGCATGCAAAGTAATAGATGAGTTCTGAAGGAATGCATATGGGATTGGATACATCATTATGCTACTTCGGCCAAAATAGAAGGGATGGTGACTAAGACTGTAATTCTGGGCTCGCATCTGATGTGAGCACGTCCTGCTTGAGGGCCTTTTCAAGCCGCCCTTCTACATAATCCCTACAACAAAAAGCAATGCTTTCCTTGTATTAGAACTCTTCAAACAAAGTTTGTCACCTCGTTTAGGACGCAAATTTCAAGGCACTATAACCAGTGCAGCGAATCCCCTAGGCAGCGGTCTTTTGACCTTGGTTACTATGGCTTTTGGGTGTAAAGGCACTAGCGCGTGCATAAAGTACACATCAAGGTCAATGACAGTGGTACACATACATAAACAAAAAAGAGCAGATTGCCGCACACTGCTTTAACGAGCGATGCAAGTCATCATTCTGGGATTGACCTCAGCCTGAAGATCCAATCTAGTCACAAAACTCGACATTGTGTGCGTACGCTTGGTATAGGAAAGTTTCAGAAGGTTCCTGTTTTGCCATATCACATAACAGCCCATTTTACCTCGGATTGCAAGAACGCATGGGAGTTACTTTACCGAGGTAAAAAAAGAATTTACCACATAGCTTTATAGGTCCCAACTGCTGCGGACTAACGTGGGGTGGTCGCTTTCAAGTCAAAAACAGTCAATTCAAGAGGCTGAATCCATCACGTGCCGAGCAACCCATGGAAGGAAATTTGGATCACGATTGGGGTAGACTACAGGGGAGAAGTTTGTTTGATTTGTTTTGCTCAAACAATTACAAAGTTTAATTTTCCTTCGGAAATAAATTTGATGCTATAATAAATAAGAAGCGATTGTCTCAAGTCCTTTTACTTTGATTTTGAAGCTTGTTAAGCTAACAGAGGCAAAATATTGTGGAATGAAAGAAGTATCACAGTCTTTGATGGAAGCAATTGGAAGTGAACTATTGCCTTCGTAGAAGGATTAAATTAACACTTTGGACAAGTAAGCTGCCATTCAGCTACGATCGGACGCATTCATAATGTCTTATTGTGGTAGTCGCAATAGCACACAATAGAAATCTGCATACGATCAAATTTGGATGAGTACAGTGAAAAATTCAGGAATCTAATAGAGGTGGGAGATATATTTCGTACTCCAAAGCGATTACTAGCACGGCTTGCAAAGCGGGGTTGATGAAATTTTTCCCATTGTCACACGATTGCAGCTTTGGAATCCTTTCGAGGAATGTAATTACTCACATGTTTTAAAAACTGCCGAATCACTATTTTGAATGGTTACTTAAGAAGCATAAAACACTAATTGCAGTACTCAAGTCCCTCAGATTGATGCAAATTCCCTTACCTTGTGCCTATTTCCATCGTCCATTACGTTCACAGATGGAAATAGCGGAAGGCTTTCATCGAATGAATTTCAAGCAATATGGTGTTGTTAATTTTCTCCGAATTCAAAGTGCCGTTCCATACCTTGGAACATGGTTTAATCAATTTTTGCTGAAACTGGAATTCACTTTTTAATTTTATGCAATGTAATGCTTAAATGTATTTTGGAAAGGCAAATAGTATAGTTATGCGATGGTACTTCCTCGGTTCCCTTTTATCTGATCTGTTATTTGTATCTACAATTCTGTCTCTGGTTAGTGTAGTGTCATCTGAGTTCCTTCAGCGGTGTTATTTGATGCTGACATTACATACCGCTAGCCGATGCGCTTGAAGCAACGGTCATAGACTGAGAACTTAGTTTCTGCATGGACAACGACCAGAAATTTTTTCCCACTTAGCTGTGATTTCCTCAAGCTCCTTCTGATTTCAGCACATGATTGTGGCCTGATG